AGAAATATCCTGGGAGATCAAATTCAGTCAGGTCTGTTCTCTGTTACTTAATGGAGTTTAACCTGAACAAGGGTTTAGCAGGGCTCCCAGTCCCAAGACTATTTTCACATGGGCTCATTTTCCCACTTAGCAGGGTGAGTGAGAACAGTGAGTGAAGGTTTCACTGAAAGAAACCAAAAATCCAAGCAAGAGGCCTTGGTGGTGGTTTCCTGTTCTGGGCTCTGCTTTGGGGCTGAGGTCTCAGCCTTTGCACCACAGGATCCACAGAACCCCATGGACACTCAACAGAGCCAGTGGCTTGTTAGCCAGGGAAGAGAAATTCTAGACAACCTACTGAGAGGTGGCAACATGCTAGCAGCCCTCGCTCTTGGCGCCTCCTTGGCCTTGGCATCCACTCTGGCAGCGCTTGAGGAGCCCTTCATCCTGCCACTGCACTGTGGGAGCCCCTCTCTGGGTTGGCAGAGGCCGGAGCCACCTCCCTCTGCTTGCAGGGAGGTGTGGAGGGACAGGCGCGGGTGGGAACCGAGGCTGCGCGTGGTGCTCGCGGGCTAGCGTGAGTTCCAGTGGGCGCGGTCTCCGCAGGCCTCCCGCACTCGGAGCTGCCAGCCGGCGCTGCCGGCCCAGGGCAGTGAGGGGCTTAGCACCTGGACCACCAGCTGCGGAGGTAGCGCCGGGTCCCCCAGCACTGCCGGCGCTGAGCTCAAATTCTCGCCTGGCCTCAGCTGCCTCACCAAGGGTCAGGGCACAAGACCTGCAGCCTGCCATGCCCAAGCCCCCCCTCCCCCATAGGCTCCCACACGACCCAAGCCTCCCTGATGGGTGCCACCCCCTGCTCCCTGGCGCCCGGTCCCATCGACTGCCCAAGGGCTGAGGAGTGCAGGCGTGGCTTGCGACTGGCAGACAGCTCTGCCTGCAGCCCCCGTTGGGGGGAGGCCAGCTGGGCTCCTGAGTCTGGTGGGGACTTGGGGAACTTTTATGTCTAGCTAAGGGATCATAAATGCACCAATCAGCACTCTGTGTCTAGCTCAGGGTTTGTAAATACACCAACTGGTACTCTGTATCTAACTAACCTAGTGGGGACTTGGAGCACTTTTCTGTTTAGCACTCTGTGTCTAGCTCAAGGATTGTAAACGCACCAATCAGCACTCTGTGTGTAGCTCAGCATTTGTAAATACACCAATCAGTACACTGTGTCTGGCTCAAGGTTCGTAAATACACCAATTGGTACTCTGTATCTAGCTAACCCAGTGGGGACTTCCAGAACTTTTCTGTCTAGCACTGTGTCTAGCTCAATGATTGTAAACACACCAATCAGCATTCTGTCAAAACGGACCAATCAGATCTCTGTAAAATAGACCAATCAGCTCTCTGTGAAATGGACCAATCAGCAGGATGTGGGTGGGGTCAGATAAGGGAATAAATGCAGGTTGCCCGCGTGAGTGTGTCTGCACCCTGTGGAAGCTTTGTTGTTTTGCTGTTGTGGTAAATCTTGCTGCTGCTCAGTTTTGAGTCCACACTGCCTTTATGGGCTGTAACACTTACTGGGAGGGTCTGCAACTTCACTCCTGAAGCCAGCGAGACCATGAACCCACCGGGAAGAAGGAACAAACTCCGGATACACCATCTTTAAGAACTGTAACACTCAGCGTGAGGGTCCACGGCTTCAATCTTGAAGTCAGCCAGACCAAGAACCCACCAATTTCGGACACACTATGGAGTGGTGAGCGGCTCAGCTCCGCATTGTGAATGGAAGTCAGAGGAAGAAGAGATTTATAAGAGTCTTTTAACAAGTGGCCCAGCTGACTAAAATGGTAAAGACAGCGAGAGGTTGAATGCGGTGACTCATGTCTATAATCCCAGCACTTTGGGAGGCCAAGGCAGGAGAATCACTTGAGTGATTCTAGGGGTTCTAGATGTTCAAGACCAACCTGGGCAACATAGTGAGACCTTGTATCTACAAAAACCAAAATCGTCAGAGGCGGTTGAACCAGAGCAATTCCATCTTGAATAGGAGTTGTGTGAAATAAGGCGGAGACCTCCTGGGCTTCGTTCCCAGACAGTTAAACATTGTAAATCACAGGATGGGATAGCGGTAGGAACAAGATACAGGTCACAAAGACCTTGCTGATAAAACAGTTTGCAGTAAAGAAGCCAGCTAAAACCCCCCAAAACTAAGACGGTAATGAGAGTGACCTCTGGTGGTTCTTACTGCTACACTCCCACCAGTGCCATGACAGTGTACAAATGCCATAGCAACATCAGGAATTTACCCTATATGGTGTAAAAAGGAGAGGCATGAATAATCCATCCATTGTTTCGCATATAATCAAGAAATAACCATAAAAACAGGCAGCCCCAGCTCTTGGGGCTTTTCTGCCTATGGAGTAGCCATTCTTTTACTCATTTAGTAAACTGGCTTTCACTTTCCTCTGTGGATTTGCCTTGAATTCTTTCTTGTACGAGATCCAGGAACCCTCTCTTGGGGTCTGGATTGGGGCCCCTTTCCAATACAAAATCAGCTGGGCATGGTTGTGCATGCCTGTTGTCCCAGCTACTTGGGAGGCTGAGGTGGGAGAATCGATTGACCCCAGGAGGCTGAGGCTGCAGTGAGCTGAGATTGCACTATTGCACTCCAGCCTGGGTGACACAGTGAAATCTTGTCTCAAAAAAAAAAAAAAACCAAAAACAGAAAGAGCTGGGAAAAAAATGGGTGAAAGAAGCAGTTACCTTGTGCCTGGGAAACAAACATGGAATGTTTTGTGGAATGTGAGAAAACTGTACGAACATTTCAATGGAGCAAGAGGTGGTGAAGATTTCTTTTTCTTTTTTTTTTTTGAGACAGAGGCTTGCTCTGTCGCCCAGGCTGGAGTGTAGTGGCGTCATCTCGGCTCACTGCAACCTCTGCCTCCCGGGTTCAAGTGATTCTCCTGCATCAGCCTCCCAAGTATTTGGGACTACAGGGGCCCAACCACCATGCCCGGCTAATTTTTTGTATTTTTACTAGAGATAGGGTTTCGCCATGTTGGCCAGGATGGTCTCGATCTCTTGACCTCATGAGCCACCCGCCTCAGCCTCCCAAAGTGCTGGGATTACAGGCGTGAGCCACCGCACCCGGCCTGTCGGTTTCTTTAGAGCCGTGATTCAATGACATGTAGCGTCAAGTTTGTGTGAGTGTCACATTTTCTTTGAATAGTGTTAAAAATGACTCTAAACTTTTGAATCATCAAGGGTCAGAAGAGGTCACTTAACTTTTTCCATTATACTCAGCTGCTCTTCTTAGGGGACACTTTGTGCTCTTGTGAAGTGAGCAGTTGAAGTTCCAAAGGCCAGTGTGGTATGCCCTGTTTCTGACCTCTTAACCTGTAGGTGTCTTGAGGAAGAAAGTGGCTTAAAAAAAATCTTTTGTTTCCTCTGTGCCTGGAAGGGCCAGGAGGGGGTTGAGGGCAGGCAATGCCAGGTGGCACTCACTCTCAGGATTGTGCAAATGAGTTTCTCCTTAAACTTTGTCCGCTCAATGCCTCATTGGCCCCAGCCTAATCCTGGCCCTGGGGTCAAGCACAGTGCAGAGAGGACAATAGGAGCTCCTTGGCCAGGCACAGTGGCTCACGTCTGTAATCCCAGCACTTTGGGAGGCCTTGGCAGGTGGATTGCTTGAGGTCAGGAGTTCAAGCTCAACCTGGCTAACATGGTGAAACCCTGTCTCAAGAAAAAAAAAAAAAAAAAGAAAAAAAGAGAAGAAAAGTAAAGGAGCTCCTTTGTTGAATGAATAAGAGCATAAGCAAATAAAGTGTACAGGGAAGGACACACACAGTGGAAAACTCTAGATACTGAGTGTTTTCACAGCCTTTGTCCAGCCTGTGTTACGAAAGGTTCATGTTGAGGTAGATTAACTGGGCCTCCATATCATCTTAGCTCAGGCTGCTGTAACAGGGTAACATACGGTGGCTCAGACAACAGGCATTTCTCTCTGAAGATTCTGGAGGCTGGGAAGTCCAAGATCAAGATGTTGGCAGATTCAGCTCCTGGGGAAGGCTCTCTTCCTGCTTTACAGATGATTGCCTTCTCACTGTGTTCCTCATATGACAGAGAGAAAGAGAGAGAGAGAGTAGGTGGTCTCTATTCCTTTTCTTATAAGACACTAATCTCATCATGGGAGCCCACCCTCATGACCTCATGTAAACCAAATTACTTCACAAAGGGCCCACCTCCGAATACCATCACACTGGGAGTTAGAACTTCAACAAATGAATTGGGGTGAGGCAAGGCACAAACACTCAGCCCATAATGTAGTGCATTAAAATTACACATTTTGGGTCCCTGCTTTGGCACAAAAGTTTGATCACTGTAATAGAATTCTAAAGTGGCCCCCAAGATTCCCTCACCCAGTGTGTATAACCTGTGTAATCCCATCCCTTGAGTGGGTGGGCCTGACCTAATCAGGTGAACTCTTTAAAAGAAGGTGTAGAGGTTAGAGATCAAAGAAGAGAGATTGGAGGCATGAGAGGAATTTTTCTTCAAGGAGCCAGTAGCTACATTGTAAGAGGGTTACAGGATGAGAAAATGGGAGAGGCCTCCAGGAGCTGAGCAGTCTCCAGTAACAGCCAGCAGGAGGTGGTCAACTCAGTCCTACAACCACAAGCAACCAAATTCTTGATGCCAACCTCATGAGACTCTATGCAGAGAACCCAGCCACACCACACCTGCACTTTTGCCTCACTTTCTTGCTGGCTGTCACTGGGGGCTGCTCTGAGCTCTTAGGTGATCACAAATTTGTGTTTCATTAAGCGGCTAGGTTTATAGTAATTTGTTACATAGCATAGAAAGCTTATCTCCTTTCTACAATGGATCAGTCCACCTCTCCTGGGTCCACTGTCTTATTAAAACTAGCTCTCATTTGGTTGTTGATTACATTTTTCCCTCACATTAATATATAACCTCTTCATTTTAATCCATAACTGCCTTCTTTTTTCCTCTATTGTTTCCTTTGGGAATTTACATAGCAATTTTGAATCTACTACACACATTGTTATTTGAACACTCACAGAAAACTATTATCTTCCCCCCGCCCTCTACAAAGCATCTCCAGGGCACATATTATTGTGAGGCCTCCATTTTCATCCTTGCAACCAGTGTTCAGAGCTCACAGAGCTTATCATGTTTATTATATAACAATAAGACATAAGCCAAAACAACTTGCTGCTGGGCTTTTAAACATAGCAACAGCAGAAATCTTTTCTGGGCTTGAGGAAGAGCCACTTCAAATGTCTACTAATTTCAGCAATTTTCTGGTCTATGGAATGAAAAGTCTAAAACTGGCTCTGAAGGTATTTAAGTACACTCACAGAAAGCCCTCCGCTCCACCATCGGACACCATGACGCAAGGGGGCAGGTGGGGAGGAAAGCGGCACGCTCCCTGGTTGTTGGGATTCACAAGCTGCCTTTCAAAGGACTATTGCCTGGGTGGCAAATGCTGTTGGAGGAGGAAAGCGAAAGGCATGAAACAGGGACCCTTCAAAGTGGCCACCATGGTAATGTCACTCAGTGGCACAGGGCTTGTTCCTCCCTTTTGTTCTCTTTTCTAGTAGGAGGACCATCAGCAGTTGTATTCAAATGAAGAGCTCATTTAGTTGTAAGCACTAAAAACCCAATCTGGTTTAAGCACAGCAGGTTTCTTGGCTGATGTAGTGGATTGAGCCAAGGCTGTGTTGTTTCCCGTGACCTCCCTGTTTGGTTTCATTCTCAGGCAGCCACTCCCCACACAATGCCCTTCGCTTTCCCACTCCCAACCCAAATCTCTGGCCTCACCCCATGGAAAAAGGGTGCCTCTTTCCTCCATTCCAGCCATGAATGCTGGGCTGACCATTTGAGCTTTGGTCACATGTCCTCCCCTTAAATCAGTGCAATGGCCAGGAAGATGGAACCCACTGTTTGGCCAGCACAGGGCATGTGTGTCTACTTCTAGAGCAGGAAGATGAGGCCACAAGGATTGAACGTGGGGGAAGGCTGGGTCCCCAGAGGAAAACCGGGGTGCCATTACCATTGGAGGGTGGAGTGGCCACTGGGTGAACCACGGATGGCCTCCAGCAGTGGGACCTATCCCAGTACCAGATAGAGCTGGGAAGACTTGAAGACCAGAGAGTCCATGGGGAGCAGAGGCTTCTCCCCAACTCTGTGCTTCTGCTGAGTCACCCAGCATCCTACACGTTCATCTGTGTGTGTGCACCTCTCAGCCAGGTTGTCTCCCTGGAAGTAGAGTCAACGTGGAGGTGCATAGCACAGTGTTTCTCTGCCTCAGGCCCTGTAATTTCCTCTCTTGGCCCACAAGAGGTAGGAATTTCTGTGCCCCTGTCCCTGTGTTCCTCTGAGAGTGGACTGCCTCTTCTCCCTTCACAAAAATCTGAGGGCTGTAGAAGACTTCACATGGGGGACCTGGCCTGCTGTGGGTGGGAGTCTGCCTGCAGTAGGAAGTGGGAAGCTGGAGTAACCTTGGGTCCCAGGCCTTTGGAAGCCTACATTGTCCCGAGAGCTGTTGCTTCTCTCCATGGGCTCGTGGGGTTATTCCGTCTCCACTCGTGTCCTATTGGATCTGCCACCCAGCAGGACCTCTCCGTATCTACTTCCTATGGGTTCTCCCCAGAGCATCTTTCAGGGGTGCCATGACTCCTGCTTTCTGGATTGAGGCAGTAGGAAGGGCTCTCCTGTTTCTAATTGAACACTGGCCTATGCCAGACTGACCAATTACTCCCTGATCATTCAAAGTGTCTCCTCCCCTTGGGCAGGTTCCATTTCTGCTTAGCCAGAGAGATTTCACTATTCCATCAACGAGTTAAACCCTCTTTGATGGGGAAGGCAGAAGATTTTCCCTATGTGGGATACATACTTGGAAACTTGGCTCTTAGCAGTTGGATGAGCTATATGCAAAAGTAAAGTGCCAATTAGTTTTGCTGAATTTTATTAATATTGGGGGTCCATTATAAAACCACCCATTAGGTCTATAACAGCCCAACTTAAAATATATCCTAGTGGGGTTATCTATTTGATTCATGATGCTTAAATCAGTAATTTTATACTTAACATAGAGAATGTGATTCAATGATACATTTACGTAGCAAAGTTGTACTTATTAAATATTTACTCAGTGTAAGGTACTGAGCCAAGGAATACAAAGATACCTGACACTCATTTCTTCTCCTCCAAAAGTTTATAATCTACTAGATGGGGCAGATGCATAGCACAAAAATAGCTAAATGTGGTTCTGTGTCAGAATCAGTCTGTTTCTTTAGAAAGACAGTTTATTTGAAGTTCACCTAACTTCAAGCTTGAGCAGTTTTTACTGACACTAACTAGGGTTTGACTCAGGTGTCTGGTATTAAAAAGGGCTACTCAGAAGCTCCAAATACCAGGAAAGGTTCTGGATACTGGGGAGGGGCTATAGAGTTTCAGGGATTCTTTTGCTTCAAAATTAAGTAAGAATTTTTTGACTGCTCTGAAGGAAGCTGTGTGAAACCCAGTGGGAAAAAAAATGACTAAATTATTCTTGATCTTTTGGCATTTAACAGAGCAAAATGCAAGTGGAAAGGAAGCAGGAATATCAGATGATCAATGGCACATTAATGATCTGAAGAACGGTTGGTCCATAGAGTGTGCAGAGAATCCATTAAAGGGAATGTATCATGTGAAGTCAGAACAGATGGATGTCACATTGAGTCAGCAATGATGAGGGGACAGGTGTTGGACATTGACAGGGTCTGCTACAGTCACCAGAGAGAAGCTGTCTCAAAGACTTGAGCCCCAAGTCTAAACATCTCTGGAAAGGACCCTGGTTTGGCCTATCTTTCGTCACAGGTCACCCTTGGACCAATCACCTGGGGCCCAAAATAGCTGATGATTCTGTAGTAGCCATAGGAGCTACTGGGGTGGGAACATGTGGGGAAAGTAACTGTGAGGGGTGTGTACTAACTGGGGAGTTAGTCCTAGAAAAAGAGTGTCCGGTATGCCTGACTTTAGCTGGAGACATTTCTGTGGCTCAGCTTTAATTTTCCAGTATTCAGCATTGAGTTACTCTTGTTGCTTCTAAGACTCTGACATGAAGTCCCAGTTCTTAAAAAAAAAAAAAAAAAAAAAGCCGTGGATGAGACAATAAAATGCCCATCTGGATTGTTGCAACAGGGTATTGTTTTTCACCATGTGCCATATGAGTCTTGCCCGAGTAACTCAGTCCTTCTAGAACTGGACTTCTCAGAGACAGGGGTTCGTATGAATCTGTTCTCATGTTGCTGATAAAGACATACCCGAGACTGGGTAATTTATAAAGAAAAAGAGGTTTAATGAACTCACAGTTCCACATGGCTGAGGAGGCCTCACAATCACGGTGGAAGGTGAAAGGCACATTTTACATGGTGGCAGGCAAGAGAGAATGAGAGCCAAGCAAAAGGGGAAACTCCTTATAAAACCATCAGATCTCATGAGACTTATTCACTACCATAAGAACAGTATGGGGGAAACCATGCCCATGATTCAATCGTCTCCCACCCGGTCCCTCCCACAACACATGAGAGCTACAATCCAAGATAAGATTCAGGTGGGGACACAGCCAAACCATCTCAAGGTCCTTACCCTGAACCTGGGCCTATGACCCAGCTCCACTCTCACTGGTAAACTAACCTGATGCTAACTGCAGAACTTCCCGCTTTCCTGGAATCCCAGCTGCTGTGCTTTTAGCTCCATGTTTGTCTCTTCCTGCTGCAGTTAGCTGAGCCATGATGACTGCCTCACAAAGGCTGCCTGCAAGGCAAGGTTCAGCGTGAAGGCTTTGCATAGACTTGACCCACGGAGTGAAATAGTAAGAGACTGAGAGAGTCAGGTTCTTGGAGGTAGCCAGCACCAAAATTGTCTGGGAGGGCAGGGTGACTCCGAAAGACCGTCTGGGGGAGTTCTCACACGTTCTTGACATCTTCGTTTCTCCATACTTTTGGCACAGGGAATTTGAGCTGGCTGGAGTGGGTGGACGAGGTGGAATAAAAAAAAAATGAAGACAGCTTTAGACACCAAAATTACAAAATCTTACTGTGGATTCTATCCTTTCCTGGACATTTGGCTTGTTTAGGAGGATGCTTGAAACCCACACGCACATGCGGATTACACTCAGACCAACACGTTGCCCTCCAGCGCTTTCCAATGCTGGATGTGACCCTTCAGAAACCATCCTGGGGAGGGTCTTTGCCATCTCCTCCCCTCCCCAGAGCACTGTGGGGTAAAGGAGGGCTAAGAGTGAAGCTTGGCAGTAAACTGGCAGTGTGTGCCTCTTCTTACTTAGATCATTGAGACCCCCTCAAAGGATGTGAAAAGTTAGCCCAGCATCTGTGAGGCTTGCTGGACTCTAGAGATGACTTCTAAGACCGAGGCTACAGGCTAGGCAGGAAAGCCTTCTCTGCTCTCTAGGGAGTAAAGAAGTCATCAAGACGGCACAGTGGCTCACACCTGTAACCTAACACTTTGGGAGGCTGAGGCAGGCAGATCCTCTGAGCCCAGAAGTTTCAGATCAGCCTGGGCAACATAGTGGGATCCCCATCTCTAAAAAAATACAAAATCCCCTGAGCCCAGGAGTTTGAGATCAGCCTGGGCAACATAGTGGGACACCCATCTCTACAAAAAATACAAAAATTAGGCCAACGTGGTGGTGCATACCTGTAGTCCCAGCTACTCTGGAGGCTGAGGTGGGAGAATTGCTTGAACCAGGGAGGTGGAGGCTGCAGTGAGCTGCGATTGCTCCACTGAGCCACTGCACTCCAGTCTGGGTGACAAAGCAAGACCTTGTCTCAAAAAAAAAAAAAAAAAAGGAGTGATCAAAACATCTGGTTTTTAAAACTGCAGGGAGATGAGGAGACAATGATCTCTAAGGTACACAAGTCCTTGGTTTTTTTAGAAAGAATCACTAGACTTTTTTAAAAAAGCAAACTCTCATAGTTAATAACAATATATTGTATATTTGAAAATTGCTAAGAGAGTAGATCTTAAGTGTTCTCACTACAAAAAATAAGTGTGTGAGGTAATGCATATGTTAAATAGCTTGATTTAGCCATTCTACAATGTGTGTGTGTGTATATATATAAACATCATGTTTTATACCATAAATATACACAATCTTTACTTGCCAATTTAGAAAAGAAAAAGCCAACTCTCAAAAGAGAGGAGTGGTAGAGATGGTGCAAATGCTCTGTCCAGTTCTTTGTTCTTTCTTCTTTTTATTCTGAGCATTTTGGTGGAGACAGCATGGCCCAGGAGGAGGATGGGGCCGGAAGGCAGGCTGTGTAGGGGGGATACTGGCTGGGCCCTTTCCTAGCTGTGTGACCTCAGGCAACTTATATAACCTCTTGAGCCATAGTCTCTTTATCTAAAAATGGGCATAATAAGAGAATAACTGTTGTGAAAATGAAATGAAAGAATGCATGTCGGCTGGGCACAGTGGCTCGCGCCTGTAATCCCAGCACTTTGGGAGGCTGAGGCGGGTGGATCACCTGAGGTCAGGAGTTTGAGGCCAGCCCGGCCAACATGGTGAAACCCTGTCTCTACTAAAAATACAAAAATTAGCCAGGCGTGGTGGCGCGTACCTGT